CATTCGCCGTTTTTTCTTAGCTTCAATCTAGTAAGATTCGTTGAGACAGTGTCCTGCTAAAATAAAAGCTTTGATTTTTCTCGATCATTTATTTATTAAGTAGAATTATATTATGAGATAGTTGTTTAAAGATATTATTAAATTATGACATTAGATTGAGTATAAACAAATTTATTGGCTAATCAAAAAGCATTTTTATCCGTGTAGTATTCTTCCTGCAATTCAGACGTGTCATTCTATACGTAGAAATTGAAATAACTGGACGAAAATTAATCCAACTTTCTTAAAGGCGAACGCCTTATCGAGCGAGTAAGGCTATTGAGCAGAAATGGTCCATTTCTCTTGCGTTTTATCGATTGAAATTACGCAACCTCGCAACCGTCAAATTAATTCCAATATCGCCCCGACTCGACGGCCGCTGCCCGTATATCGCCCAGTATATTACTCCAGCTGTCTTAAGAGTAGTAAAAAATTAGAAGAAATGCCGTTTTTCGAATAAATTAGCATTATGAAATAAAGTATATCGATTATTAAGTATGCAGGATTAATCCATTCATGGTCAAAATATTTTAAACCATAATATTCATAATGATTGCATACATTTATTATCACATACACGACATAATTGTAACTGTTATTAGAGTAAGACACATACTAATAAGCCTGGAACTATACTGAGACACGTTATAACAATAACAAGACCGGAAACATTAAAACAACAAAATAGTGCATTTATCAAGTACCTGGGGAATGCGGCGTGTCGAATAATGCAGATACAAAATAATGTCCTTATAATGTACGACTTAGTGAGCATCGAAACATATGCAAAGAGGCGAAACAATGAAGTCAGATGCTGCAGACCTGTGTGGTTCAACCACTACAACATTAAGTTGTTTTTGAAGAAAATAAAGTCTTCCTACTATTGGTGATAGACCAAGAACGGTAAACTAATAGGATTGCTCATCCTCATAAGACGTACGTTCGCCTCTTCCCGCGCTTCAGCTGACGTCATTGTGACGTCATTGTAGTCCTTGTCATGATAGTGTGTATTATTAGTTGCCTATGGTAAACTTATAAAAATAACAGCTGAGAAATTTTGAGTTAATTATTTTGTCAATTTTAAATGTAAAAAAGGTGTCTTTAAAGTTTTTAGAGCTATAGAGTGTATAAATACGTTCATTTTGTGTTGTGGATTGTGACAAAGTGTTTAGTAATTGCCTACGATATTGTTTATTAATTATTTTAAAGCAAAATATGGAAGTACTCTAAAACAATGCTTGCAAAAGGTGATGTTGGGAACTGCTGTTCTTAAAAATGCATTATCCGAGTATTTAATACGATTTATACAGTTAATTTTCTATACTGCATACATATAAGGTGTTTAAATAAATAAACTAAATAATGAAAGTTTTGCATTCGGCAACCAATAATGCACGTGTGTTTATTATTGGTTGCCGGATAAGGACTGATAACCATGACAAGGACTACAATGACGTCACAAAGCGAGTAGTTTTCGCATGCACCTGGCGGACACTTTTGGCTGAATGAGCAGTCCTACTAGGTTAACTGTTCTTGGTGATAGACCACCCAGAGATAGAAGGTAATGAAAAAGCAGGGAGTGACTCCACTAACTAGACCACGGGCGTTCTGCTTCCCATAATGGAATCCACCTTAAAGCGGAACTGAAGAACCTTGAAGACTTACTTAACGATGATGATGAGAACCATCCACTTATTTAAAAATAAACATATTTCTTTAAATCCAAAACATTCAGTTTTAAAAAATTCTGTACACATAAATTATTGATTTTTAAAATATTTTTCGCAAACTAGGGAAAGGAAAATCAGACAACGAACAGAGATGATTGGTGTTAGGTAATAGCTTTTAGATTACCGTTTAACAAACCATCGATGTTACTTTGGTGTGTAAGTTTTGTTATTGTGGTTAAGGAGGAGGGGGATTATCAATAAAGGTAAAGAGTAAAGAATGTTTCATGATTATTTAACTTATGTAAATTAAAGCATATATTTTCTTTTCTTGTTGTAATATTCTGTGTTAAAGCCTGGTTGACACAGTCAAAGTGTACTTGGATGAAATATACTTGGTTAAAATGGGAATTTTTCAGTTTACAAATATAGTTGCTATTTTAGGTACTTACCAGCTAGTTAACAAAGTCTATTTCTGTTCTTGCTAATGTAGAGTTTTTGGATAGGTGGGTTATATAGCAATATGATAAATTTCATACTAATTTTTAATATTTATTCATCAATTGAAATACATTTTAAACAGATGCTTTTTGAATTTGGTTACTATCAACTTATTATATATCTCCTTACGACGATCATACTTCCTGAGTTGGGTAATCGTTTACTCTCCAAAAAAATCCTCTATGGATATTTCGCCACGATGATTACCCATAGAGGATTATTTTGGAGAGATGAATCCGCCACATAGGTATAGACGTTTTTTATAATTATTTACTATCCGGTTTTCTGCTATTTTTTAAAAGTTATTTATACTTGTGCTACTACAGTGACTACTAATATGATGTAACGGCTATTTACGCATTCCCGAGAGTTTCTGGGGAATATAATATCAAAATTTACAGTAAATTAATTTGAGACCTCATGTTAGTCTTCATAGAACTAGTAAAGTAAGTCTGTATGTATGTCGGTTTCTTAAAAATTGCTAAATAATAGAAAAACACATGGTAAATAATTATCCTAAGTTGACAAACACGTATAAATATGTGCACAAGCACAAACAGCCTATAGGAAATTGAGACAATATTCATTCAATTCATAATTGCAATCGGTAAAGTAAGAGTCCATTTAGTCAGTTTATAAACTACCTAGCAATGTAATAAGCAATCTAACCTCTAATTTTAAAGACTAAAACTAATAGAGTTATCTTATTAGTCAACATCATATAATAAAAAACCAACTAACAAAATTAACTGGTTAATATTAAACCATGTAGTACATATTGACAAAACTGTTGTTAAAGCCCAGAAGACGATGTCGGCTGACTAGTCTCATGCTGAATATCAATGGTCCCAAACTCTATTCTAGCTAGTGTAGTACATTCACAATTATTATATGCAGCACCGGCATGGTTTAATTAATATAATAACGGAGGATTAAAAACAACTGCAAAAAAATTTAAGAGAGAAAAATATGCATCAGAGTTTGCTGTGCATACAGACAATATCTGCTGAAGGTGCTTGCGTTATAGCTGGAACTCCTCCAATAGTTTCTTTAATAAAAGAAAGATATGCGACTTACTGTGGGTTATCAAGGCAAAAAGCCCGAAGTAAAATTGTTACTGAGTGGCAAAATAAATGGGAAAATGGTAAGCATGACAGATGGACACATAAACTTACCTCGAACATTGAAAAATGGATTTCTAGAGGCTATGGAGATGTGGTGAAGACTACGTAATGCAAGCGTTGTTGGGCCCATGGGTGCTTTGGTAAATATCCTTTTGATCGAAAAAAAGACTACACCTAGATGGGATCAAATTAGAAGTCAATATTTTCAAGATACAAAAAAGTTTTCAATATAGGAATTGTAGCAAACAGCTTAGTTGATGGGGAAAATACCTCGGACAAAGTTACAACAACAATAAGATATATTGAAAATAAAGAGAAGGAGGCCCAGATAATGCAAAGTCTGGTAGAAGATGCTTAAGGACAACGGCCGGATTGAAGAAATGCGAAATCGGATTCCAATGCGGTTCTGTGTTAGGGCAGAGGAAGTTTTTTAGCCAATAGGAATCCGGCACTACCCAATGGGGGTGTTTTATGTAAGATTTTTCCATCCCCATAAAAAAGTTAATATTAAATCTTCTTCTTCGTAAGGTGCCGTGCAGATTCCAGCGTAGGCGTTCATCTTTTCCTTCCTCATTTCTCTCGGGATAGCTCCTTTGGCTCCCTTTGGATAGATTCCCCTTTTGCCTCCCTCGATTTTACCCTGGAGAATTATTCGAAAAATTCACGTTCTTCTAAACCAGCTCTTCTGAGAATGTCTTCATTCCTCATACGGTCGACCCAGGAGACTCTTCTTAGTATTTATCGTAGGGTCCACATTTCGTATTGAAGGTTTCAATTCTGTTTATTGTTACTACCTTCAATGTCCATGCTTCCACACCATATAACAAAAAGAACCAGCCACAACATTTCACCATTCTGTATTTAAGGCCGAAGTTCAAGTTCTTATCTGTAAGAAAAAATCTCCGAAGTTTAAGAAAAGTTGTTCTTGCTTGCTCGATCCTGCATTTGATCTCCTGATCTTGATCCCACGTTTGATTAACCATGCATCCTAAGTATTTAAATTGTGTGACCTGCTTCATGACCTCTCCATTTAAGTAAATTTTGCTGTTCGGAATGTTGTTTCTGCTAACAGCCATAAATTCGGTTTTTCTAGTAATAATGTTTAAACCCAGTCTTTGGCTTTCATTGTTAACCTTATTTAGAAGGATTTGGAGATCATTTGTATTGTCTTCCAATATCACTGTGTCATCCGCATATCGGATAGTATTAATTGGAATGCCATTTATTTTCAAACCAATGGGACTGTCGGAGATTGACTCAGTGAATGCTCTTTCCACATATTAGTCATAAAAAATATTAAAGCAATAATATAAAATCCTGAGGTTAACTAAAACGAATATATAATTTAGAAACTAAACGGCTAGTTTGGAAATTAGCTGCTGGTTACCCACTATTTTACACAAATAGGCGGACTCTTTCAACAGCGCTTTTAGTTAGTTTGCAAAAGAGGTGGTTAGTACGAAAACTAGCCAGGTATCCATTTTAGCTGTAACATACATATATAACTGGAAATATTAAGTATACACTTTTGATAAGAAAATGCTGCATTTTATCACTCTGACTCGCTAATACACTGACCCTTACCTTTCTCCGACGTGGACGACGACGACGGCGGCATTTCAACGTTTCGCGTGCATTTTTTCCGCCGTTTTCCGTTCGGCGGCCGCGAGTCCCCTTTGCCCGGAATATTATGCACGTCGAAAGTGTTTTCTGGCGATCGCCGCAGAGTGGCGAGCACCGGAGCCGCCGAAGAAGGAGACCGCGAGTCTATATAAAGGCCCGCCATCATTTTCTATTTTCTATAGTCCGGTAGTGTGGTCGGTTAGTGTGCTTTAATTAGTTCAGTTTACCCTCAGACCCTTGTTTTTTCGAGATCGAACGTAAAAAATTGAAACGGTACTGCCCTTTTTAATTTTTAATTTTTTTTTAATTATCGCCTTAAAGCACTTAGCTCGAAAAAAGAACTTCCAAATTTCTGGGGATTATTCTTCATTCTATATTCAAAATTTTGATAAAAAATATTATAAACATAGGTTCAGAATGCATAGTTTTAAAGATAGAGGATGTTAAAACATTAATAATTCCCCTGCAATAATCTTATTAGCATCGAACATCCGTATTATAAATTGTAATTTTTTGTTATCAAGGATTTTAATACTTTTTTTAATTGGATCCAGAAACCTGCAGTGAATTGTTTTTTTTATAAGAGTTCTATATAGATAGGCACATAATACAAAAAAAAGTTATATTTTAAGTTGCCTTATAAATAGTTATAGATACCCCTAGTACAAAACTTAATTTTTTTCTCACAATGTATGTTTCATATCTCTCTTATTTTTTATCCGATGTTGATGAAAATTTTACCATTTTGTGAAGTGATTTATTTTGATTCTTTTTTTTTATTCATTTTGTTATAATAATTATTATCATTTTTCGTTCAGGAGGTATTAACTGGTAAAAAGCAGAATTTTGTTTTTGTGATAATTTCAAAACACTCTGTGGAAAAGTCGAAGAGGATACATTTATTTACAAACTGTTTGTTGTAATTCTAGGTGTATTTCAAAGAGTTTGTTTTACCATTATTTGATTAGTTGTACGAGCTGCAAACTTTTAAATAAAACATTGATTTGAAACTTATTATTAATTGAAAAATAAAACCAAGAACTTAATAGCATGGATGTCCACCTCTCGCAGCAAAAATAGCTTCAGTCTTCATAGCTCTGAAAGAATGAGAGATGAGAGTAGTTAATTATTCTTTATTAAGGGATGATAAAGCATATCATTGAAACGGTTCTTTAAGTTCATCAAAAAGGTGCTCGATAAGATTGATATTCGGTCTACAAATGGACAATTCCAACCTCATCCAGATATTCGCTCACCACTCGTGCAAGTCTAGCAATGTTATGCATTAATATAAATTTACTCTCAGTAAGAGAAGCAAATGAAACGTATCATTTGCAGCTTTGCATTATTTGCAGCTCCCACAAGAAACGAAATAATTGTAGACTTTGAAAAAAAAACAAATTGTTTCTATTGCACCTAAAATTACAACCAAAAGTTTATAAACAAGTCTATTAGACTTAATTTTTCCACAGGGTGTTATGACCAAAGTTAATTAGTTAATTATGAACAAAAGTATAATCCACAGGGTGTTAGGTAAGGTTTGGTTTGATCAAAGTATAATTTTCGGTTATACCTGTATAATATCAGTAAGTCATTTTATTCCATTGCTTCTTATTCCTAGTCAAACTCTTATTGCCCATTCATAAATGTTTTTAATATTTTTTAGCGGTCATGCTTTCTTGTATTTTGAAGGGGGTACACCACAAATACCGTATGATAAAAATACTGCATCAAATATGACTGGGAATGACGATATTTGATAATTTTGTCGTGGCCAATCTCTAGATAACATTTACTAAAAATTGATATAACACCGAAAATTATATCGCTAATTATAGATTAAAAATTAAAAATAGATAGTAGTAGAAAATAGATTAAAAAAGGATAGAACATTTCTAGACACATAAATCTATTTCAAAAAAAATGTTTTCTTGAATTTTAAACACAAAGTCATTTAAAAATAATGTTTACTCTATATATAAAAAAATACAAACTTAAGGCCAACTGGCAATAAGCGCTATTAAAAAATAAAGAAGAATATAGGCGAAGAAAATGACGTCTAGGGCTTGACCTCGACAAAATTATTATCGATTGGCATTCCCTAGCCGTCTTTGACGCCGTTTTTTTCGATCATATGGTAGTGGAACGTACCTGCAATATATGTAGGTACATTTAGGTGAAGTATTTTAACAAAGACCCTAAATAATCCTTTTTGGAAAATAAATTTCAATTCTTGATAATTTAAGTAAAGCCTATTTTTTTATTAATTCTCCATTTTTTAATAAATAATTTTAATTCCTCCATTTTTTTATTACTCCGTATTGTTTGAAAAAAATAAATAAAAAAAAAAGAATCACAAATTATTAATGTAATTCACATTTTTTTAAGTAGAACAAAATAAATAGATACAGTACCACTCAGTTTGTATTTCAGATTTTTTAATATATTTTTATTTACTCTGTATAAGACTCACCCTGTTTTAGTTAAGTGCAAATATATTTCGACCCCATAAACACGTCTATGCGATTATTTTGCGAAAAAAAAAATTCGGAGTTTGAAATTTTAGGAAAAAAAATCGAAATATTTTTAATTTCTAGTTAAAAAATATAATATGTACCTTTATAATATGGCAACATAGATAGTAGATTAAATTTACAAGAAAGAAAAACCATAAAAATCCAGTGGTTCTCAAAATTTAAGCAAAAAATATATTTTTTGGAAATTTTTAATGCAAAATATCTCCGTTGTTTTGAAAAACGGTAAAGAGAAAATTTGTTTCTTTTATCGAGATCTACCAGCCTTGAAAATATTTACAATTATTTAAGATTCCTGTATATACTGACGACTATGATTTCTGAATCCAATCTAAATAGTTCTAATCACTTTCTGGTATATTCGTTTTAAAGCGGATTTCAATTCGAAAAGAATATCATGAACCTTTATTGTTATTGCCTAAAACTATATCTATTTTCTATAATGCAGTGATTCTTTTTCTTAATTCTTCCTAGTACTGTTTTCTAAAAAAAGGATATTTATAGAAGTACATTGAAGTGTAAAATCTATAACAGGATTTTTAATGTAATCAAATGAATAAGGTATTTTATCTATAATTCGTAATTGAGTGCTATTAGTGTATTCATTAAGAGTATTAACATTCAAAGAAGGCGATGACAAGTCTGTATAAAGACATACGATTATTTTCTATTTTCTGTAATTCATTCGTATGGTTAGTTAATTGTTTGTTTAGTTGAACTTCCTATTTTTCTCTATTTTTTTTTCTAAGGAAATAGATACGTATTAAATGCTGTGATTTCTTAGCTTAGTATATTTCTTTAATTAGAATTTGATTTATTTTATTGTCTAAAATTATGTATTTAACACTAATAACAAAATGCAAGCAAAAAAACTTTTACTAACATTTTTCAGAAAAAAATATCACATTGTTACTTAAAAAATCAATGTTCAAAACATAACTTCTTATAAGATTTATTGATTGAACACATTACAATAATAATACATTATTAATTCTTTAGAAGTTGTTATATATGATTTATTTCCCTTCTTAGAATTTTTAAATTTTCGTCTTTACTTTTTCTAGCATATGATTCATTAACAGCAAATTTCTAAGTATTAAATTTATATTTAACAAATTTTCTTCAATGTACGAATTTTGGCTCGATGTTTAATTGTGTCTTCTAGGACACTTACAATTTCTAATGTAATTGACTCAATCATTTACTAAAAATGATTGAACATTACTCATATTGAAAATATATAAATGTTCTCATTATAGAACTGTAGTTGAAAAAAGTTTAGTACCTCTATGTATTTGTTTTTAATTTTTAATTATTCCTTATTTCAGAAAATGAGGAATTGTACAGCTCTGATACCCCTGCTCATGAGCTTGTTCTTCAACGTGAGGTGCTCGCCTGTATCACAACCGGGATACGAAAATGCTCAATACGTTCAAGCTCAAGCCATACCAGTTGTACAGTACAAGCCTCAAGAGATACACTTTAAAGCAGGTGAGTGAATTTGGTTTGGTATTCTGTGCACTAAGATCTGATGCTCTGGTGAAGGTTCTTTTTTAGATTTTTTGAGGTTGCTATTGGCCTATACGACCTTAACATAACAATTTTGGACCTGTCCTGATCTCTAGGTTACATTTTCTACACTCGAATAACTTAAAGAATGGAGCTATTTGCGAGTGTCTTAATATTTTCCGACTACCGTATTGTTATAGAATTTGTCTTTCCATTTCTTCTTTTGATGGACAACATTTTTACATGGTTTTGTCCGTCAATCTTATCAGCTTCAAATGGGTATTGAGCTTGCAATGTTGTGTAAGTACATCCACTATAGTTTTGACAGTTTTGCCTGTTTTCTGTTAACTCCCCTGACTTTTCTTAATTTACTACTGTCAATTTTGGCAAACATTGTTCTATGAAATTCTTTGCCTGAATGTTTCTATACCCTTCTGATGTGACTTCTTCTTCTTTCTAGGGACTTGTTTGACATTCACTGTTTTGCTGGCAATTTCAGTATTTCCTTGTATCTATTTCCATACTTCTCTTTTTTCTCAGCCTTGTTCCATTCAGTGTCATCTTCTAAGTTTTTCAATGCTTTGCGATCTCTAGCCAATCTTATCCATTGTCTTCCTGCTACTGCGCTGCCGTCATCGATCCATCTCTTTTTTTGGTCGGCCCACACTTCTTGTTGTTCCCCTAGGTCTTGATAGGGGAACCCTAGGTCTCACTTTTTGGGGCCATCGGTCTGGATCCTGTTTTGCCACATATTCTATCCATTGCCACTTCAGATTTGCCACTCTTTTAACAACATCTATTAGTTTTGTTTTTTGACGTAGGTGGGTGTTCCGTATTTTTTCCCTAATGGTGATTCCCAACATGATTCTTTCCATGGCTCTTTGTGCTACTCGTAGTTGTTCTGCTGTTTTTCGGGTAATTGATATAGTCTCTAAGGCATACTTAAGCACAGGTAGAATGCAGCTGTCGTAAGCCTTTTTCTTTAGGTTGATGGGCACCTTTTTATCCTTGAAAATATCGCTCATATTTCCAAATGCTACCCATGCCAAATGGATCCTGCGTTTGATCTCCGTATTTTGGTTCTCTTTACCCAGTTTGATTTTATGACCTAAATAAATGGTCTACGTTTTCAGTAACAACGTTGTATACGGTAATGTTATGGATATTGTTGCTCATTATCTTGGTCTTTTTCAAGTTCATTTTAAAGCCAATGTTCTGGGATTGGTCATCTAGCTCCTTTAGCATGGTGTTCAGTTCTCGAATGTCGGTGCTCAGCAAGACAATATCGTCTGCGAACCTAAGATGGCTAATGTATTTCCATACACTAATCCCAATCGTAGATTGTAGATCTGTAGATTGTATAAGAGGGGGAAAGTTAATCACCGCGACCTTGTAGATATTGTAGATTCCAGGGTCGTTCAACAAAATTGAAGAGGTAATATTTTGGCAAACTGTATTTAAAAAAAACAATTTAAATGAAGTAAAGGAACCTACGTTGTTTTAAAAAAAATTATTGTAACTGACCTCGGACGCACCCGAAAGAAGCAATATTAGGGGAAATTTGAGGAGAATAGGTTATGTAAATCGAACGGTAAATTTGTAAAAGAGACCTACTTATTTATTAAATGAAATGAAAGGAGTGCCGTACTCTGCCTGGACTTCACAAGTAAAAGAGCAGGGTAGAGAAAACCTTGATCACTGTTCCAAAAAATCCTACTATGCTGTTCTGAACTGTAAGAAAAGAGTAATAATAATACTGTCCTCATACCAAGAATTGAAGTTTAAGACAAAGATTATCAGATGAAATAAATCCGGAAAATCTATAGCACAGAATATTACAATAGAAAATAAAATATATGCTTTAGTTAACAATAGTTAAATAATGAGGAATCATTTACTTTACCTTTAATAACATTCTTTGCCACAATGAGCAAACCAAAATAAGATAAATGCGTCTCAAACAGTAGTCTCAAAACTATTACCTAACACCTATCTCCCTTCATTGTCTGATTTGCCTCTCCCTAGTTTGTGTATACATATTTTAAAAATCAATAAGAATTTATGTATACAGAGTGTTTTAAAACTGAATCTTTTAGATTTAAAGAAATATGTTTATTTTTAAATAAGCGGTTCATCTCAATCTATTGTGTCCCCCTTTCTTGAGTTATAACTCATCGTTCAGTCTCATCGCTTTGGCAAGAGCCAGTATCTGAGACGGTTTTACAGAGGTTAGTCTATCTCCGATGTTAGTCGTACCAAAGTTTATTGAACTAATGATTGTCTTATCGGCTTACTCAGGGGTAATGAGGTGTTCTGGTGTTTATTGGTTATTATTGTCCCCATTTTCCCCACAGAATCTGTATTCGCCATTGTTTCTTAGCTTCAATCTACTGAATTATTCATTGAGGACACTAGTCCCAATACAACATTGTTCAAATTGCTGTAGCCTTCACTTCCCTTTGACTGTAGTAATGACTCTACAAAATCAAAAGTCATGTCCATATTCACAATAATTCCGTTTAAGTCATTATTGGCGCTATTTAATAACGAATTTCGCAACCCGATAGATATGCCTAGACATTCTATTAATCGTGCGAAAGCGCATATAATAAATATAAAAATGTTTTCAAAACTTTAGCAATCATCGGTTATAGTTTACAGTCAAGGTTGCTCTTAAATATATGTTTTAATTTTAGTTTTCACGCTTTATTTAATAATTTAGACGGTTTAGATAGTTTAGACGTATTGCACAATGGAATTCCTTCGATATATTGCAATTTCCTGGGTTAAAAAACAGTAATTATATTGAGAATACAGCAAATATTTTGTTAATTACATTTTATAGTTGGTAACACTGTGTAATAAAATTGTATGGACCTTTTAGGTAATGACCTTACTTTAAATAACTAGAAACAAGTTGGTAATAAGTATTTATAAATAGAAATTTTGTGTGTTGGTTTGGTTGGTTTGTTGTGTTTTTGTTTCTGTTTTTGTTTTGACATGAGAAATTTGATTTTGATGTCATGTCAATATGAGTCCTATTTGTTCCTAGTCCTATTGTTTTAACAGTTTTGAAACGTAATAACTTTTCGTCCGTACCTGTATAAAACTACTGAGTGAAAAAAATGTCTCTTGGTAAAAATCTCTACGAGTAACGGTTCTCAAGATATTTAGAACGGAAATAGGCAATCGATGTCATTATTTACAAAAACTAAACACGTTGACTAGATAAAGTTATTTGACTGAAATAATAAATTTGGGAAATTTTTTATTTTTTAAATTAATCATAAATTTATTGGCGAAAAAATGATGATAAAATAGTTTCTGTTGAACTTTTGGCACAAAAACATCTCAAATTTATGATTTCAGTCTAATTGCTATTTAGTCAACATCTTTAATTTATGTCAATGGTGACAGGTATTGATAATTTTCGTTCCAAATATCTGGAGAACCATTACTCTAAGCGATTTTTACCAAGAAACCTTTTAACGTAGAAAACGTCGTAAATGTATATTTTTTCACTCAGTAGTTTTATACAGGTACGAACGAGAAAAGTTATTACTCTTCAAAACAGTTGAAACACATGTAGGTGGCGCCCCCTGCAAATAAGACTCATATTGACATCAAAATCAAATTTCTCATATCAAAAAACTCGCAGACATCAATTTGCATCCAAACATTGACGTTACTTCAGAAATTATTTGGAAAAAATCGAAATAGAAATAAAATTTCTACACCCTGTATCTCCGAAACTACTAAGCATTTTACGTCATACATTTATACGAACTTTTTTAATTATTTTTATCAGCAGAATATGCTGCCAAAGTTTCCGGAATACAGTTCGGACCACTCTGTATATCGTTGTCATTCCTAGTTACAGCCCTTATTTGACCTCCCTGTACAAACATCTTAACATCATAAGCACATAATTCAATCTGGCTTTAAGAGTTGAAAAAAAACGTATGAATTAATAAAAACAGCGTCAGCGATGGCTACGAAATGAACATCGATGACATTTCCCATATAAATTTACATATAAAATGACAGCGATCTTCATTTCATAGTCACCGCTGACGCCGTTTTTTTTTCGTTCATACGGTATCTTATGAATATTATTCTGTTTAACAGGTGGGGCATAGCTGTAAACTGTCATTAGTTAACTGTCTTCTGTCGACAACAATAATTGCTATTTAAAACCATTTACCCAATAATTTACAGAGAAATAAGTTTAAAGTGAAAATCTAGCTTATTCAATTGTCAGTAAATGTTCAAGCATTTGACAACAATAGAAACAATAGCCATACATTGCTAAAACCAATAGATTAGTTAAACCTATTATTCACAATGCATTATCTAATCTCAGATTGACCTAAAACTGTTTTTCTGATTTTTCTTCCGTTTACAGATATATTATTGGCCCAAATTACTGAATGAATACAGAAGCTTAATTTTTATAATGAACCGTGAAGTTGCTATTGTTCAATTACACATACGGTTTCGCCAAGTTATTTAATAAAGTAGTGAATAAAAAAATGATATATAGTAATTTTCTTGGAAAAGCAATAATTGTTACAAATTCAATTTAAAGCTTAAAAAATAGTTATGCAAAGGAAAAATATTTTGAAATATGGTATATACGATTCTTATTGAGAAATATATTATTGTATGCGTTTTATAATAAAAGAAACAAAATTTATGGACTGGAAAATGAAATACAATGCGTGATAATTTGATATGTTTCAATACATTTTTTATATATCTTTGAATACTGGAAATTTAGAAATTATTACAGTACAGATTTCTGAATCTGTAGTATCCTTAATCATCATAAATCCTTAGTTTTCTGTCTTTACCTATTTCGTTACTCCAGAGTATATTATTCAGACATTTTATTGCATTTCTGGCCTTGACTATTCTCGAGCTTATTTCGTTGTCATCTTTCCCGGATTTATCGAAAGTAACACCTATATAGGTATTTGTATTCGTTACATGTTTGTATGTATTCATTATCCAGTTTTATTGCTGTTTGGTCCGATCCAATGCAGATATATTTCTTCTTCTTCTTCTTTCTCAGCCTGGTTCCATCCAGTGTTGGATATAGGCCTCTTCCAGATTTTTCCATGCTTCGCGATCTCTAGCCAATCTTATCCATTGTCTTCCCGCCACTGCCCTGACGTTATCGACCCATCTCTTTTTTGGTCGGCCCACACTTCTTGTTGTTCCCCTAGGTCTCCATAGGATTACTTTTTGGGGCCATCGGTCTGGATCCTGTCTTGCCACATGTAATATCCATTGCCACTCTTTTGACGACATCTATTAATTTTGTTTTTTGACGTATGTGGGTATTCCGTATTTTTTCCCTAATGGTGACTCCCAACATGATTCTTTCAATGACTCTTTGTGCTACTCGTAGTTGTTCTGCTGTTTTTCGAGTAACTGCCATAGTCTCTAAGCCATACGTAAGCACAGGTAGAATGCAGCTGTCGTAAGCCTTTTTCTTTAGGTTCATGGGCACCTTTTTATCCTTGAAAATATCGTTTATTTCGAATTTTTCGAATATACCTTTATTTCCAAATGCTACCCATGCCAAATAGATCCTGCGTTTGATCTCCGTATTTTGGTTTTCCTTGCCCAGCTTGATTTTATGACCTAAATATATATAATGGTCTACGTTTTCAATAATAACGTTGTCCACGGTAATGTTATGGATATTGTTGCTCATTATCTTGGTCTTCTTCAAGTTCATTTTAAGGCCAATTTTCTGGGATTGGTCATTTAGCTCATTTAGCATGGTGAATGTCTTGAATGTCGGTGCTCAGAAAGACAATATCGTCTGCGAACCTCAGATGGCTAAGGTGTACCCCATCGATGTTTAGACCTCTATTTTCCCATTCTAATTTCTTGAAGACATTTTCCAGTGCCAGTGTAAATAACTTGGGAGAGATGGGATCTCCTTGTCTCACGCCCTTGCCGAGTAGTATTTTTTCTGTTTTGAGGTCATCATCTAATTTAACTTGGAAGGTTGCACTATCATAGATATTTTTAATAATGGAATAATATCTGGAATTAATTCTCGCGTCCTCCATTGCAGCTAGAAATGACCAGGTTTCGATGCTGTCAAAGGCTTTTTGGTAGTCTACAAAGGCCAAATGTAGAGGTATATTGTATTCTGTTATTTTTTCAATGACTGTTTTAATTGTTTGTAGATGATCGATGGTACTAAAACCTTTTCGAAAGCCTGCCTGTTCTATTGGCTGATAGGAATCTAGTTTCGTAGACAGTCGGTTGTTGATAATCCTAGTGAAGAGCTTGTATAGATGCGAGAGAAAGCTTATTGGTCTATAATTCTCTATATTTGTAAAATCTCCTTTTTTGTATAATAGCACAACTTCTGCGTTTTTCCATGCGTCCGGGATTCTACCCTCCATCAGACATTTATTTAACAATACTTCCACGGCATCCACTAATGGTTTTCCGCCCATCTTCAGCATTTCAGGTGTAATACGATCTTCTCCTGGGATCTTCTTCTGTGGTTGATATTTCTGGCATATCTTCTGATCTTACGTTTGTGATGTGTTTTTGTACTCTATCTTTGTTTGGTATAACAGACTGATAAAGTTGTTCGTAGAATTTGTGAATTTCATTTCTAATTTCATGTTTGGTTAGAGATATTTAGTTTTTGTAATATTCATCTCCAGTCTCCAAACTTGGTATTCCTCTTTAAGTTTTCGTGTCATATATTCCAAGTCATCTTTGTCAATTTCGGAAGCTGGCTTCCAAACGTGACTGAACCTGACTTCTACCTATCTACCTATCTTCTACCTTCGACTTTTCCTTGAATGATCAAACGAGGAATAGTTCCCGATCTTAGTTTAGCTTTCCAAGAACTTCTTCGTTGCTTGTATGTTCGGTCCAAGAAATCTTAAGGATTCTCCGCTAGCACCACATTTCAAAGGCTTCTACTTTGGATGTAATGGAGTTTGTAATGGATGTTTCTAATGGAGTTAATAAATATGAAATATAATCGAACCATTAGTATTATTTACATTATTTACTATTCAAAATTGTGGTTGGCAATTTAATAAAAACTCTAGTGAACGGTGGCAAAGAAAAAATAAATTCATTTATTCTGTTGCGATAAAAAGTTCCTTTATAATAAATCAGATTATCATTTTTTACTCTAATTAAATTATTAAAATTCTTTAATTATAGCGTTTAATTAATTAACAGAGACAACGAGAATCTATTTTCGGAAAATTTTAATATTTCTATAATAAGAAAGTATTGTTTAATGAGTATTTTAAATAATAAAATTTAAATACTAATTTATAATAACAGGTTTTAAGTAATCAACGTGTTAATGCATAAAAACGAAAGTAATTTAATTAAAGCCTCTTTAAATTATTCTGCGTTGTATTAAAACTTTCTTAGAAATAAAAGGAATATTAAAAATTATATCATTTTAAAGTAAAAGTAAATCGAATGATTAGTACTACTTTTTCAATGTTAATTATTTATTTTCTGAAGTTTTTTTGGTATTTATACACTCAGATGCAAACAAAAACGCAACGGAGGAATTTTTTGTTCAAATTTAAAGTGTTATATTTTTGTTAATTTTAGCCCTATTTTCATGATTTTTTTCGAAAGCTAATTATATAGACTTTAATTCGTAAACTCAGTTTTTTATCAACTTTAGTATTTGGCATAGTATACAGGGTTAATCGACGCCACGGTTTGTTTTCTTTACCTTAACTTTAAAACACCCTGTGCAATAATTTCGTGTGTAAATTATCCTAAAATATAATTTTACCTATCCTAAAACATTAATTTTTAATATAATTTTTAATGAACTTGCCACCAACAATTTGCAATTTTCTGAATTATCATATCATTTTGAAAATATTTTTCAATATGACAAGGCGGCTTTGGTGATTATTGTGAACTATATACTACTATGAACTGCCAATCATGTTCGGCGTTTGGGAAATACTTGACAGGATGGTTAAACCGGCCACACATTATACGATTTATCGTACTACAAGTTGTACAACACCAAATCGTTGTATCAATGGTTGGATAGTTAGTGGCATTGTAGTACAATTTACGGTTAGACGCGGTCGTATCGTACGGAAGTACAGCATGTATAAAATCGTTGGAAGTACAACGCGGTAGCACAGCAGTAGTAGATACGATAGGTTTGATAGTTTGTGTGCAAGCACTTCTTGTTGAAACGAAATCTAAACATTTTTCGTGGCAAATTAAGTACAATATAGTTCATAAAAATTGAAAATAAAAAGTTTTGGTCAGAATTTATAAAAATATATCCTTCCCATATATATGTGTGTGGGATGTAAAAAATTACGAATACTTAAACAAGAATTAAAGAATTGCATATTATGAGAATCTATTGGAAAAATTAAAAGATATAAAAGCAGATGCTACTATGGAATATTTAATTACAATTTTTTGGAGGGTTTTTTATCTTGGACTAAAAAAAACTACCACAATTGCAGCTATTGTTTTTTTTGACAAACACAAAGCCATGGCGAACAAGACAAAATCAACTGAGAAACGATTTATTGTACGACAGACATTAAAGTAGCAGTATAAGTTTGTGGCGAACAGTGCATCCGATCTGTCGTTCAAATGGTCGAATCCAATTTGTGTTGTACAACCTGCAGTAGGATAAATTGTATAAAACGGCCTACACTCGTAACGATTTATCGTACTGCGCGTTGAACTGCAGATCGTAAAGAAAACCGTACGGCTTGCATTACAGCCATTTTTTGTACACACGATGCAACTTATTTTACTGCCGCAGTTCAGATTATTCACTTTTCGTCGAGAAGGGCTACCGTTAAGTCAAGAATTTCAAAGAAGAAAGCTGCCGTGCTTGTAGCTGCGGTATTGCTGAAAGATGAGGATGATGAAAATGGTGTAAAAAGTGGTTGCTGGAGAGAAAGAAATATTCACATATGAGGTTGGTAAAAGTGCTGAAAAAAGAAGAACCTCTTGATTTTGAAAACTATTTAAGAATGGATTCTGATGCCTTTACGTGTTTGATGGACTTAGTTTGTAATAAAATTACGAAGCAAGATACAATTGTTTGTATCTTGCTTCGTAATTTTAATTTCGTATATGTTAATTGTTAATATTTCGTAATTGTTGATTTCGCATCCCATAGGCATCTATTTCCTCTATAAAAATCAATAAAGTCTTCCCAGAACGTCTTATTTTTTAAATCCATAATATTGATTAAACCAAAAATAAATAAAAATTATATCGTAACTGCGCGCTGCGGCAGGGAATACACTTCCACACCTTCAAACTTGCGTTCAAACCCCACCCCAGACACGACCCGTTGATACGATATTTTACGGAAGCTCCGTACTGCAAACGATTTGACAACTGCATACTGCAAACCATCCAATTTCCCTACACACGCTACGATTTATCGTTAATGCGGCAGTTTCGATGGATATCGTACTGCATGCAGTACGATAAATCGTTACGTGTGTAGGCCGTTTTAGAGGTTCGAAAAGCGGTACCAGCTTCATTAATTCTTCGTAAAAGCCAAGCGTAAGGCCAAACGTAAAGTCGTAAAGGCCAAACTTCAAATAAAGACAAATTTAAATTTTACCTGTAGAGAATTTTAGAGCTAAGCCTTAAAAATTAAAAATTGGGTTTAGTTGTAAAGAGAGAAAAGAAATATACTTTTTCAAAAAAAAATTGTAGGTATATAAATTAAATTGTTGTATGGCTTTGTTATATTATTTAAAATAATAATTCGTTTTTTATTGTTCTAGCACCTCAAGCCAGGCCGGTTTATGAGCAAAGGGCAGAAGGTTTACAGTACTACTCGACGCAAGCGAAATCGATACAGGCTCCTGCTCAAAGGCCTGTCCAACAGGTCTTTGCACCAAGCAGTCAGGTGAGATTTAGAAATCAAATTCAAATCACTAGACAAGTGTCATATTTATTTATTTTTTCAAAACAGTACCTTAAATTATTGTAGAAAACTTAAAGATACATTCCTATAATCACTCTGATCTTCAATATAATGTAATACGAATGCCACACATTGCATATTTTGTTGTGCCAAATCTCAACAAATCATCATAATTTTCAGATTATTCAACCATTTCCAATTATGGTGTAGCCTTCCTCACTACTCTATTATTATTGTCTAAGCAGACCCAATGTTATCCCTGCTAATTTCATAATATCATGGTCCCATCTCTGGTTCCTGATACCTCAATTCCTCGTGGGTACCATGCTGTAATTTTTGTGGTCCATCTGTTGTTTGTTCTTCTTGCCAGGTGTTCTGTCCATTTCCATTTGAGGGATTTGACTCTGTGGATGACATCTATTACCTAGGTCTTCCACAATGCTTATCCACTCTATTTTTTTACGGTCTCTCTTGATTATTCCCAGCATATTTCGTTACATTGGGCGTTGTGTGACCTGCAGTTTACTTATGGTGTCCATTTTAGGTGTCCAGGTTTTGCATGCATGGTCTGGTTGTACACACTGGAATGTTTTCTTTTTTAGATAGAGTGTCATTGTAGATTTGCATATGATTGAGTTTTTTCCTTAAGTACTCCATGCTCACTTAATTCTTCTGTTGATGTCTGGTAGTAGAGATCCCGAGCTGTGTATTAGTTGTCCCAAATATACCTATATGTTACAGTAAAAGTTGGAAATCAGTGATTGTTAACAATTACTAGTAAAAGCTAACATTCACTGATTTGCTAAGACTACACGCCAGTAAAAGTTCGACAGCTATTTTTGAAACCAACTTTTACTAGTGAATGCTAGCAGTGAGTTTGAAAGATTCAGTTAGCGCGGTTGCCACATGGTTGGAAAATATTCTTCTACTATTTCCAGAGTTGTGTTATTATTAGAATGTCTTTGAAGTGCATTCATGTTTCATTCCACTTTATTGCTGGCTTTATTTAGTTCATTAATTTGTGCTTGTGGTTCTTCAGGACTATTGTCAACAATTAGGACTATGTCATCAGCAAATCTTATATTATTAAGATTTTCTCCATCTATTTTTAATCCTTTGTTGGCCCAGTCCAGTTGACGGAAGATTTGTTCTAATGTTGCTGTAAACAGATTTGGGGATATCGCGTTTCCCTGTCGTACTCCTTTGCCAGCTGGGAACTCTGGGGTTGTTTTATATATCATTACTCTTGCTCTGGCTTCTTTGTATATATTGGCGAGAGTTTCTATATAAGGCCTGTCAATACCTTGTTTCACTAGGGCTTCTATTATTGCCTTAGGATACATATATTGAATCGAAAGCCTTCTCAAAGTCTATGGTTAGTGGAAGTTCGTATTCTTTTGTGCGGCTGAAAAAAAACAGGCGCGGTTTAAATTATAAGTATAATAATAGCGTGAACGCTTACTTGACTTTGCAATCGAAAACAATCTAACTATAATGAACACAACATTTCAACATCATATCCGAAGGCTCTACACATGGACTAGTCCAGGAGACAGAGTACACAACCAGATAGATTATATTCTCTCTGATTCGAGATGGAGAACCTCGTTCAGGACAGTACGGACTTACCCCGGAGCAATATGTGGCTCGGATCATAAGTTACTGGCAGCAAAGATTCGTATAAAGTTAAAAAATGTTGTAAGAAAACCAAGACCAAATCAGATGGAGATCCCCAACGTAACACATTTCCAAGAAGAACTACTGAAAACATCGTGGAACATTAACGAGAACACCCAACCCCAACAGATTTGGATAGACTTTAAAAATTGTCTGAGTAATGCCACTTCTCGACAACTAAACAAAAGACAAAAAAACAAACATTGGATTTCTGACAGCACATTGCTAAAAATTGAACAAAGACGAACATTAGTGCAAACTGGTATAAAAACACAAGATGAAAAAGATAAATATAGAAAAACAAATACAGAGATCAAACACAGTTACACCATCGACAAGAACAACTACCATAAAAAAATATGCCAGGAAATAGAATCTCACGCTTTCACAAATCAACCAGGGGACCTATTTAAAAAGATAAAGTACCTCACAAGAGAATTCAAGCCAAAAACATGGGCAATAGAAGACGAACGAGGACAACTTAAAACCGAAATTAACAAAATAGTGGAACGATGGCGAACATACTGCGGAACACTGTATAAAGAAAAAGATCCTCAGCCTAGTTGCTCTTTCTACAGTGATATAATTAATGAAGAACCAGACATACTGAAATCGGAAATTGAAGCAGCAATAAAAAACCTAAAACATCATAAAGCCCCGGGACCAGATCCCATCACGGCCGAAATGCTCCAAGCGTCGGGAAATTTTGGTGTGGACATCTTGCACAAGTTATGTAATATGATATGGCATACTCACCAATGGCCATCAGATTGGACCGATTGTTCCATAATAACCATCCACAAAAAGAGATCTCCAGCCAAATGCGACAACTTTCGTACCATTGCGCTAATTTCACATGCCAGTAAGATTCTTCTTCATATCATTAACGAAAGGTTAAAACCGTATATTCAACCACAAATCCCTCCAGAGCAAGCAGGATTCACAAGAGGTCGAGGAACACGTGAACAAATTTTGAATGTCCATCAGATTATCGAAAAGGCCCGAGGAATTTAACAATCCGCTCTATATTTCTTTCGCCAGACTATCGAAAAGCTTTTGACAAAAGTCAAATGGTCAAAACTATGGATGGTTCTTAAAGAAATGGGCGTGCCTCTTCATTTGATTTCATTGATCCAGAATCTCTATGTAAATACCAAAAGTAGAATTACCATCAATGGCGTTACTTCGGAAGACTTCCAGCCTACCTGTGGTGTTAGGCAGGGGTGCATACTATCTCGTCAGTTATTCAATATATATACTGAATATATCATGAGACGGGCATTGGAACATTGGCAAGGGGGGACAACAATTAATGGTCACAAAATTACCAACCTCAGATTTGCAGACGATACGGTCCTTCTAGCAGGAAACGAAGAAGAGTTACTGCAGCTTCTACAATTGGTTGAAGACGAAAGCGAGAAACTTGGACTTGAAATTAATCCCTCTAAAACAAAAATTATGATTATCGACAGGCAAAACAACAACAAACCTGATGTAGTGAGCATGGTCGTTTTGAGGTTGTAAAGTCCAGTATATATATATATATATATATATATATATATATTGGGTCACTTATAAACAACACGGATCGTTAGAGACGAAATAAAGAAGAAGATGTGAAATGACAAGAGTGGCAGTGCGAAAACTCTCAAAGATATGGCGAGACAAAAACATATCTAAACACTTAAAAAAAAGGCTTGTTCACTGCTTAATATTTCCTATATTAATGTATGGCTCCGAGTCCTGGACGATGAGACAGTCAGAAATGAAAAAAATTGACGCAACTGAGATGTACTGTTGGCGACGAATGCTCAGAATTCCCTGGACTGCCCGGCGAACCAATGAATCCATAATCCAAGAACTGAACATCACATAACGCCTCTCAACTTCTATACAGTCACGTATACTTAAATATTTCGGTCACGTTATGAGGAGGGATACTGACTGTATGGAAAAGAGCTCATTATACAGGGCAAAGTTCCGGGAAGAAGACCAAGAGGCCGCTCGCCCTCCCGATGGATAGACCAGCTATCAAAGATCACCCACAAGCCACTGCACACGCTTGTACATGATTGATGATCAAAAAGGGAATTAAGAGAGAGAGAGAGAGAGAGAGAGAGAGAGAGCGAGGGAGAGAGAGAGAGAGAGAGAGAGAGAGAGAGAGAGAGAGAGAGAGAGAGAGTTAAGGCCTTGGGAGTAGGCAAGGTACACCTTGCCATGCTAGAGCCGTTTGGTATACAAGGAAGGTAAGGTGGCTAGCATTACGCTTCAACCGCCTATTATTACCTCAAGATTGTGAATCTCAAGTACTCATTTAAGGCTGAGTCGACCTAGGTACCCAAACTATTTTTATTTTATTAAAAATAAACGGCTGATGAAATGCCGGCTGTGGGATTCGAACCCCCAACCTTTGGATTGGTAGACGAGAGGTGTTTGTACCTCTACGCCACCGGGCGCCTATATAAATTATAAATAAATCCCTATAAAAAATACATATTTGATATAGAGGGGTTGTCGATTGATGATCAAAAAGCTTATTTTGACATAAAAAAAAATGTTTTATTTCTTAATTTCATTTCAGCCGAAGCAGAAATGATTTCTATACAAACAAGGTATTTTGATGCATAGAAGACGTGTATACATACAAGTGTATAATCATAATGATATCTGTAATAAAATCAGGGATATTAAAGAAAAAAAGGTTTTTTAGAAAATGTTATCACCCTGTATCTCAGAAAGTATGATGTTTAGGACATACATTCATAAGAAGTTTTTTGTCTTATGTAATAGAATAGTTTCAAGAATCACCCCCTTAAATATTAGCATGTCATTAAGGAACATCCTGTATATAATTTTGATGTTTAAATAAAATAACAATAATTTTTATTTTATTTAAACAACAATTGTTTAAATATATCTATTGTTTATTTTTATAATTATTATAAAAATAAACACGGAAGATTGGTATTAAATACATATGTTTTTTCTCTCATAGGCCAGATCTATCCAGACTCCAGCCCAAGGAGGAGTACATCAGTACTTTGTGCCCACACACCAGGTAAAATAGAGAAATTCATACTTTTAACTAAAAAATGCTAATTTAAAATTGTCATTAGTCATTAATACTACTAAATTTTTACTAATATTAGTCCCATTTGTGTGACGCTAGTCTTCAGATGATTTATTAAAAAAATACTTGTAACGCATTTTATAACACAGTCAGTAAAAATGATGACACTGCTAAAAATACAGCAAAATGACACATGAAAACGCCAAAATACTCGAGTAATTAGTATTTTATTTCTTAAGAAATCTGTTATTTGGTATTATAATCAACTCCATTTCCTCATTCATTCGTATGCATCATAAAACTAAGCATCTAGGAAAGCAGGTTAAAGAAAAAATCCTATAAAACTACCCATTTACTGTTATTTAAGAGCTTTCTTCTAGGAACTAATACCAATTTAACGAGCATTATAGTATCACTTACTAAAATATTTCACCCAGACTGCCTCTTTGCAATTCAATTAAGACCAATCTGACACTTCGCGGTCATAAAAGTGTTAGTTTCGACGAAAGCGCTCTTTTATTTCTGCTGGTTTTAATTTCCTCAGTTTCCGAATAAAAATGCTAAGTCCTGCCAGAGATACTAACGTTAAGAAATATTAAATTATAAGGTGGAATTAGATTTATGGACTCTGTCGTGTTGAGTTCGAAATGTGCGATTATTGCGGTATAATTTGTTAACTTCAAGTGTAATAAGCGCAGATGCTGATTAAATATTTTTTTGTGTAATTGTGCGATATAAGCTAGATACCTACGCTAATAAGCAGTATAGGATTTTAGTTACCTTGAGATTATATTTTAATCGTATATGCCAAAAAAAATTTTATGATTGTTGTGTTATTGACTAAGCCAAATGATAATTGTATATTAAAAAGTATAATTTTGAAAAGGATTTAGAGCAAAATATTTTTTTCTAATCCTTTAATTTCATTTATGATACGTGTCAATTGGTGTTTTTATTTGAGAACTTTTTTCATCAAAAAAATATTGAATCTTTTGGCATGTAACAGTGACCATTACCAACTTTCTAATTCTAAATGCAACGCAATTAAGCTTCATTCAGAACCTCGCAATCAGTGGTTTCAATTAGCGTAGAAGTTTGTTACTTTAATTTCAATGTAAGCATTCAGAACGTCAAAATTAGTGGTAGATTTTCTATTAGTAAAAAAGTTATCAAATTTTTAAGTTTGCACTAATTATACTTCAAAATTTGCGAGAAATGTCATTTTGGTCTTTGATTATCGTCCGTCAAGAGAAAATGAGGTTAGAAGTTTTTTCTTGTCAGTTTCGCGAAATTTAAAAAAAAAAACTTTTTAGTGCCACTTGTTTATTCGCCTGAGATTTCTCTACAGTGTATCGAAACCTTACAGTGTTGTCACCTCCTAACGTTGTCCACATTCTACATATTTCTATATTTTTTTAATTCAAATTTTGATTGATATTTACTTAATTTATTGCAGAGCAAAATAAAACATTAACAACAATTATGCCATACGCATACCCTTTAAGTTAGGAAACTGTCTCGACAAGCGTGTTTTGATTGCTTTGAATTAAACAGTTTTGTTTGTTTTCTTTCGTGTTTCTTTGTTTTATTTTTAAAATTTAATACGAATTTGATTGCTTCGAATGTCTAGAATTTAAAATTGTTTTAACTACGGTAACGATTGGGTTGTCGATGGAGCCATTGAATATGTCGCAATACATCGGAAATACATCGAAAAGATAGCGAAAAAACTAAATATGTATTTAAAATTGTTGAGTGAAACATGTATTTTCTTAGATTAAAAGTAGTTCGTAAAGTGGCAATAAGAGGTAATAATTCTCAATATTTATTCATTCAGAAAGGTATTCAAAGAGTGTGCGCTTTTCAAGGTGTTTTGAAAATTAGTGGTTCAAATTATGATGAAGCCTATACGAAAATAATGTGTTAGAAATAGGAACTGTTATTTTAGCAGTTATTATAATGACATATAAGTCTGTGTAAAGCAGCAGAGTGAAGTGTATTTTAGTTAAGTGTGTATCGAAAAAGAGAACTTTCACAGTTACATCGGGCTGTCATAAGTATCTTTTTTCAATGTTGTGGATAATGTAATGGGGTTTTCTTTTAATTTATTATGTGTAATAATAACATCATCTTAAAAATGTAATACATCTCTGCAATCTCTGCTAAACTCTTCAAGTGGTGTGATTTTGTGATTTATTTTTAAGCATATACTTTCTTGATTATGCGGCAACACAGGGCGTCTAATTATCTGCGATCCGGTCACCGATCCGGGTAATTGGATGGTATAGCGATATCTGCCGGCCATTCTCAAAATGTTGCCTTTATTTATTTAAATTTTCAAGTTAAATAACTCGGTTATTTTCAATTTATTTTAAAAATGGTAAAGAGAACATATGTTTCTTTTGACCAGATCTATCACCTACCATGATCATTTCATTTAGCTTATTCCGTCCACTGCTGAATAAAAGCCTCCCTTAACTCTAGCCATTTCTTTCTATTTTGTGCCACTTGAATCCAGTGTCCAGCCACTCTCTTAATATCTCTTGTCCATCGACTAGGAGGTAGTCCTCTGCTTCTATAGACCTCGTATTTTGGTCTCCAGTCCACAAGTCTCTTTGTCCACCGTCCATCCGTTATCCTAGCCACATGTTCTTCCCAATTCCATTTAAGATCTAAGACATATTAAACAATATTAATGTAAACATATACATAGTAAACATATACACATACTATATACATATTATATACTATTATATATATACTATATTACATATCATAGTATCATAATCACCGCATGTCTTACTCCTGTTCAATTTCGTATGGTATGATTGATTATTTTATCTCTCTAAGTGTAACTCCCAACATGGACCATTCCATTTTCCGTTGCATGACCTGTATTCTATGTATGTTCTTTTTTGTCAAAGTAAGTGTTTCAGCTCCATACGTGAGGACAGGCAAGATACACTGGTTAAAGACCTTTCTTTTTAAACAAATTGGAAGATCAGATCTCAGTATATCTTTAGTTTACCGAATGCCGCCCATGACAAACCTATTCTTAGTAGAATTTCGTGTGTCTGATTATCCCTGCTAATACCGCTCTCGTGTAAAGTATATTATTAAAGGTTTGTCATGTATTATGTCTTTGATAAGTTAATTTTCAAACCGACTTTTTCTGAAGCATCATTTAGCATGTCCAGCATATTCTGTGCTTCCTGTATATTGTCTGTTATTAAAACAATATCATCTGCAAAACAAAGATGATTTATGAAATTGCCATCGATGTTAATTCTTGTTGAATCACAGCTTATCATTTTTTACATACTTTCTAGCACAGCAACGAATAGTTTAGGGGACAGTGGGTAGTTTTGTCTTACCCCTCGATCGATATGGAATTTGTCTGTGCATTGATTTGTCGATTTTCTGACGTTTTCCGTAGCATTATCATATAAATGTTTTATGATTGAGGAAGAATGCATACGATACATATCGATGCAAATCTCACTTAGTGCCTCTAGAAGCTTCCGCTGGTCTACTGAATCGAAGGCCTTTTAAAATCCACGAAGATAAGTATTAGTGGTCTATTATTCTCAATGCATTTCTCGATAAGGAACTTGACTGTCAGAAGATGGCCATTTGTTCCGTAACCTGATCGGAAACCTGATGCTTGTTCGATCGAAAGAAAAAAGTCTATTTTATTTGCCAATCTCTTGGTGATTATTTTAGTAAATAATTTGTATATGTGGTTAAGAAGGCTGATCGGTCTATAGTTTTTAAGGTCTGTAGCGTCACCAGATCTACCAGCCCTTTAAATATCTGCGCTTATTTCTGGGACACACTGTATAAAACACACCCACGCATACAGGAACGTATGGCAAGCGAACCATCACACGGTCTTCCGTTTTTTGCTCATTTTTTTTGAGCCGCCGTCAAGGGAATTACGTGTTATCTCTGCTCTTTTATTAAAATATAGTCCCGAGGGCACCGCACCAACCCAGCCAGCGAGACGAAACGAAAAAAGGAAGGAAAAAACTTTCTCTGGCTTCGGGAGATGAAGTGAAATGGTGTTATTTATTCGGGTTTTCAGGCTTTTTTCTTGATATTCTCTGCGTTGGCGTAATAAGTGTCGGAACAGTGATTAGAAAAAATTAAATAAAGGAACATATATCGTGAGAGATTTTCAGTAGGTATTGAGAATGTGTATATTTTTTAGTTTTAATCCAGAGTTTAACCATAGTTTTTTTATTGCAAATAATTAATCTTCTTACAGTTTTATGACCGTATTTTTTTATTTTACTTCAATTTCATCCCAATTTAAAAAAAAAATAATCAATATTAAGAATTTCAAATTTACACTTTTGCAATCTCTGACGTCACCTACTAAAAGTGTCACGGTTTGCCACCATGTACAAAGGTAAATAAATACCATTTTTCTAAATGTATTTTAAAGTAGATATAAAATTAATTGTAAAATAAAATTTAAGGAACTTACGTTAAAATGATCTTCACAGCAAAATCTCCTACTTTTGCTGACATATTGTTGTCTTACCGCTTCAAACCAGGCTCTTCGACGGGTTTCATCCAAAGGAACAGTTACAAAAACTTTTTCTGGCGAGCCTTCAGAGTTATTTAGCCAGCCCTTCACAAATCAAACTTTAACACCCTTCATCACAAAAATAATAAAAAGGGTACAATAAAACAAAATTGAGAACTCAAAGTATTTAACGCCAAACGCAAAATCTACAAAATACAAATCTAACCTCGAACCCTCGAACGCCTCGAACATCCGAACAACTTTGGTAGTGTTTATTGCTTGGATAAAAAAGGCAGTAACCTGTTAATTATAAAAATTTAAGATTTAATTTCTAGTAGTAAAAAATATACTATATATATAAAAGTAAATTTAATATTGGTGTAATAAAGAATAATCCCCCATAAAAACGTGTTTTTTAACGATCCTAATAAAAATAGAAAAATCTAACGTGATTTTA